GAAGTGTGGGAGAGCCATTCAAGTGTGAGAGAGCCATGCTTCGGCACGAATGGGTCGGCTCGACCGGAGTGATACCACGGCCTCACAGAAAACCGGCGTGAAATAACCACTGCGTTGTGTTTCGCCGTGTGAGTGAGGTTACCGTAGGCCCAATCCTTCCCCTTCCCCAATCCCTCCTCAATCCCTATATCTCCAAATCCCTAATCCCTGAAAGGTCGGCAACGCACTCGTAACTCCACCGTTGCGAGTGTCCATGGGCGGCGCTGATTGCTTACCATCAGGTAATCCGTCTGCTCGTTTGCAGACCTATTACATAATAAAAAAAAAAAAGCTTTCACGAAGCATGACTGTAGGACCTACGAGGAGTTTCTTTTAAATAATCAGACAGGCGTGAAGACCAATGTAGGTTTATGTCATTGTATATCAAATACCATGGAAATATAACCAGATGAGCGTGATGTCCTCGGATATCTTTTCTCTCCGGCAAAAAATCAAACCGTTCGCTTTGTCGTTAAGAGTTAAAAGCATTTTTTTTTCTTGGATGGCTACCGAATTGGGGAATTCAATGTTGTCGACTGTAGTGTCAGTGTGCCAATTTTTCGTTACAAGCGATAAAATCAAAGTGTAAGAGAGCCATGTTTGGCGCGAATGGGTTAGCTCGACCTGAATGATAGCTCGGCCTCACAGAAAACTGGCGTGAAACAACAACAGCGCTCTGTTTCGCCGTGTGAGTGAGATTACTAGAGGCCCAATCCCTAGCCTTCCCCAATCCCTCCCCAAACTGTAACTCCTTCGTTGTTGCGGATGTTCAAGGGCGGCTCTGATTGCTTACCATGTGATAATCCGTCTGTTCGTTTGCCGCACTATTACATAAATAATAACAAAACGCATGCATATCCTTCATCACTACCGACAAGTCTTTAATGTTAAATATTCTCTGACATCTATACTAATATTATAAAGAGGTATTTGTAAGTTTGTATATGATTGTAAGTTTCTAAGTTTGTATGGAACCGCTGGTCGGATTGTCAAAATTCTTTCACTGATAAATAGCTACAATGTTCCTGAGTGCTATAGGCTATAGAACATCACGCTACGATCAAACGGAGCCGAGCAGCGGGTGAAACTGCGTGAGAGTAGCTAGTAATATATAATTTCTTGCATGCTATGTTTGTTCAATCAAACCCATTGTAAGACTTACTGCTAAAAAAAACTTGCTTCTAGCGTCCTAGACTGGCACAATTTTCTTGTCGACAAGTTTTCACATAAAAATATACACGATTTCAGAAGTCCAATCCACTAGCAAGTTGGAATCGATGCAAGTGCTTTGGTACGAGTATGTGTTCTGAAAGTTGCTACTAAAATGTAAGTGGATTCCGCTCGGGTTTTTATTAGTTTGTGAAAGGGTTTTAAAAATAGTTTAGTAAGGATTGCTTTTGAATGATTGTTTAATGAAAAATTCCATTGTCGAGTTTTTAGACTCACTTAAATACAGACTTCGTCTTATTGTCAATTTATTGCTAACATTTTTTATTAACAAATAGAAATTGCTGTTTGACTGAACTGTAACATTTTAGAATTTAGTTATTTCTTAGGTTTACGTATTACGTTTAGATATGATAGGGAAGGGTTAGGTGAGGAGCAGGGATTACGCGTCCGGTAACCTCACTCAAACGGCGAAATACAACGCTGTGGTTGCTTCACGCCTCGAAGCTTGGCTCCCTACACTTCCATAATATATTAATACACATGATCTCATTAATAAAATAATCTCCCACACAATATTTTTGTAACAAGAAAGACTCTTCTAAGTAGTAACCTCGTGTGGTACTTTGTAAATAAATAGAGAAGAATGGAAAGTTGTCAGGTGGGCATCGTTGGCAGGCAGCTCACGCTTCAAATCCCCACCATTCAATCTAGCGGGAATTAAGTGGGGGAATGTGTTACGTGAACTATCTTCGATGAGGCTATAGAAACTGAGGGTTTTTGCGAATTTCATTCCTAATGTTTAATACTGTTTTTGAGCTTGCCGGCACGTTGGTTCATCGTTTTTTTTTTCAGAAATTTAACGGTTTCCCTTTTTTCAGGCACCCACTTTGAGGCTTTTATTATATCCTCTCAATTTGAATTAGGTCTATATTCGTAGTCCTTCTACGAGTATACTTACTTACAAGGACCATTTAAAAATAATTCTAAACATAAAGAGTTATGTTGTTCGGTAGTCAATATTTTTCTTCACAGACTTTGTGTTTTTCCTACTCAATGCAGCGCCTACAGAGTAACAACAGCAAAAACGACACCAAGCTTTGTTTGCTTCGTAGTTTTTTGTTGCCACTAATGTCATAATAGGCGCCATTTCTACACATCAGTATCTAACATTAATAACGTATTGATTACAATGTAAATTCTGTAATAATAACTTTGCCGTAACTACATAAATATTATAATAAAAGGATCTTTATCTTATCATCATCCTACAAGTGCTAATTCCTGAGCAAATGCGTTTCAAAGGCAAGATAAATGCTTAACATTTATTGCCATACTTGCTCAAGACGGATTTGCTATTTCATACACTTAATTTAAAAGTTATAAGTCTAAATGTCCACACTATAACTGGAAAATATAGAAATTTGTTCTTGCCAGATTTTAAGTTCGCAAAGTCTTGTAACAAATTACCAAAACTTGATGTTGCCTTATTTTGCTGTGCCTGTAGGGTTCAATGGATCTCACATAAATTGCTACCACCTTATGGTAAAGCAATAAAGATATTGAGTATTGAAAACAACAAATGTAAATTACCTTACAAATGCGAAAACATTTTGAGAATAGTGTTATAGTATTAACATATGTTAAGAATAATCCTTTCATCATATCGCTGGTTTTCTGGCCCCTACCTTCAAGGTCGAGAGCTACGTATAATTAATTATCAACGTTCCCGCTGACCCCCGAACGAAAGCCACCGCCTCTATTTATCATTGCGTTCATAAATAGTAATAGAGTTATTTTCATGTTTCTGTTTATAGCACCAATGTTTGATGTAACTGTGATGGATAGGATTACGCCGTGACTTTCTATGAAATGTTCACCAGGGGTGCATAAAATCTATATATCATATTAAAGAAAGTTGAGTTAGTTACACAATTTATAACTCAAGAACGGCCGAACCGAAAGGACATAGGATAGGGAAGAGTAGGTAGGGTAGGGTAGGGTAGGTAGAGTAGGTAGGGGTAGGTAATGTTGGGTAGAGCAATGTAGGGTAGAATAGGCAAAGTAGGATAGGTAGTGTTGGGTGAGAAGTGTAGTAAGGTAACTAACCCAGCCTAGTTACCTAGTGTAGGTAGTCAAATGACAGGAGCGAAGCTGCGAAGAAGAGTTAACCACTTTTAGTTAGTTATGCTATAAGTCTTATGTAGAAGCGGGACAGCATACTGCGATATACTTGGAACTTTTTGAGACCTAGTAACCCATTTATAATTAACCCAGATATAATTATTTTAGAACAAAATCATACCTGGCTTGAGTTCCTAGGAATAGAAACTTCTTGCTAGTTAGATAATGTACACGCCGATAAACGTGCTAATCTGATTGGAAACAATAGAACCTTCTCATGGACACCTGCGACACCAGAGCTGTTGCAAGTTCGTTGCCATTCCCATTATGGGGATTTCTTGTCAGTTTGGAGCTCTGGTAATCTCAATCACACGTCGAAACGAAACGCTGAGATAATTTCACGCAGGTGTACTGCGAAGCCGTAGTATCACTCCGGTCGAGCCAGCCCAGTCATGGCGAAGCATGACTCGCACTTGATCTTAGTTGCAATTACACATCCCTTTACTTGACAATCACCCTGTTCAATAAATATTACTTAAAGGACTAAAAAATCTTATACCAAATCCGTTCTAATTTGAATCGATTACTGCTCATACCCGTCCTGTCTTTGACTTTCAGTAGCAACGTCTGAGCGGATATCATTATGCTAATGCTGCTCAATAACAAAACATCGAAGTAAAATACTCTCTAAATAATAAAAACGATATCGATGTCTCTCTCGATATTCAGTTGTTTCCTAACATTCATCTCCCTCGAGAATCTTGGCTTCAACATTATCTAAAAGAAATTATTCTAATACGAAATGTATTTCTTTTTATGTATCTAGGCCACATTTTATCCAAGATTTTGTCTTCCTTCCATATTCTAAAGGGATTCTAATGGTTTTTCTTGTATATAGCTAAACAATATCGGATACTTATATACAAATTATTATTATACCTACTATGGATGTAGGAAAATTTTACTTCAAGAGTATTGTATCTAGTTCAATACTGGCTTCATCTATAGTATATTAAAAAGTCAAAGTCAAAGTCAAAATCATTTATTTTAATTAGACCACAGTAGGCACTTTTGAACGTCAAGCAAAAAAAAGTATTTGACTAGCTTTAACTTTAGGCGTATCAGTCTGTCGGTCTGTCCTCTAGTGAAGCTATTTGCTCGTTCCAAAGTGTAGATTCCTATGGAGAAGAACGAGTAAGAAACTCCATGGGTAATCTTTTTCAATAATTCGTCAAAAAGAAAAGATAAAAAAAACACTCAAAGGTTTTTATATAAAAATATAATATAATTGTTATTATAATAAGTAATACTAGTACACGCACAAAATATAAAAATACATCAATACTTTAAAAACAGTTTCAGATTTCCTGCATACCATAACCTACTAATTAACATAAAATCTAAAATGTTTACATAGCTAGAAGGAAATTACTACAGTACAAAAGTTAAGGTAAACAATTCAAATAATAAAACAGTCATGTTCAATTAAAATAATTGTATTGTATGCCAGTAAAACAACAAACATGACTTGAATTTAAATAACTTAGTTCTAGCTCATAAATCATACATCATGTTTAAGGAAAAAAAACTAAAAGTAAAATTACTCTAAAAAGGGCTAAAATTACAAAAAAGGACTCGGTAAAATAGTTCATGATTTTTAGTCCATATATTTAGTTATCCTTGGCAAACACCCTACTCTCCCACCCTTCTCGCTCAATAAACTTGATCTTGATCCCTCCTACTGGGTGGGTGATAAAGGATTGGGCCTTGAACTTCAATTTCGTCGGCATACCATCAGCTAATTCCAAGCGATACTTCTTCAACATCGTGATGAGACCAGCTAACATCTGCATCTTTGCAAACCTCATACCTGAGAACAAAAAATAATTTTAAGTGGTTTGGTAAATGGTAAATCTAAAATGGACGTTGTAAATATAAAATAGAGAAACAGTTTGAATGTACCTAATAGGGATATCAAAATCTATTCTGAATTGATTGAAGATCATTACAGCTCATAGCAATGAAAGTTACAAGTAACTAAAATAGAAACGATGATATCTTCTCAAGTTAAGCTTAATTACTAAGTGAAATGCGTCAAAAAGTTCTAGTTAAAAGTTATGAATTTTCATCAACATACTTTTCTAAATATTAGAAGCAAATTAATGATCAATAATAATACTATGAAAACCACACCCATCCATAATAATATCAGATATCTTTTCTCCACTTGAGTTCATCGTATCTTATCTAGTGACAATATATTTTAATGAAATGTAGGTACGAGTATATTTCAATATTAAACAATAATAACAAATTTTCTTCGACATCAATAATATGTATATGAGTAATGCATCTGATCTATTTTTAGGCTATTTCATAATAAATTGTAATGCCAAATGTATAAAAATAGAAAAAACATCAACTGTAATCCGATAATAACAAAATATTTAATAGCAACAACTAGATAACTAGTGACTTGAGACTATCAGTATGATAAGCAAACAGAACAATTGACTTATCACATAATAGTTGCTGCGCAAAAGAAACCGATCCAACTCAAAAACAACCATTCTGAGAAAAAAATATATGTGGACTTCACTCCAGACACGCTGTTATGGGTCAAAGTATACCTGCAAAATCTATTAAAAAGGATGATCCATTCAAAAGTCCAAAATCTACAAATAATGACGCCGCTTGGTCACGGTAATTGACCGCATTGATTTGACCTTGACAACTCGTTTCATTGTGATTGCTAAGTAAACAAGCCTACCCAGTTCAATGTTTTAAACAAGGAAAATGAATAACTAAATCAAACTCGAAGATGAAGATGTAAATCATATTCTCTTTTAAGAATTAATCAAGGACTCGTTTTAAATGAACGTCTTCAATTTGACCTTGTATCAAAAGGTCAGTAATGAGATCAACAGCTGGCAAACTTAAACAAAAACTTCGTATCATCGTTCGAAAAATTCATTTTTCACGTACCTATACAAACTCTCGGTCCCTCTCCAAACGGCAAATATACATACGGGTTGATATTTTTTTTCTCCTCACCCAGAAAACGTTCTGGACGAAACACCTCAGGTTCTGGGTAGAATTTGGGATTATGGTGAAGATGGTATACGGGCAGTTCTACACCTATCCCTTTGTCCAATTTTGTTCCATCGGGCATAGTATAGTCCTCCATCAGCTCCCGTGGGATTGTACTAAGCACTGGGTAGACCCGGAATGTCTCGTCTATGACAGCGTCCAAATAAGGCAGCTCCGTAACACAATCGTAATTCAGTTTATTATTATGACGAGCTAAATACGAATCTATTTCTTTAAATACTTTGTTTTGAATACCTTCATGTTTTGCGATTTCATATAAAGTATAACTTAGAGCAGTAGTTGATGTTTTAAACCCAGCAGCAAAGAAAACATAGCACTGAGCTATTAATAAGTCATCGCTTGCTTCCAACGCCACTTTTTCATTTTCACCAGTTTTCATATTCCTGATGCTGTCTCCCACTATATGTTGCTTTTGTTTCCAACTCATTATGAGGTCGACAAAATCATTTCTTTCAGAAGGTTTGTTGCCCCGTTGATTCATCACAGATGTTATCAATTTATGTAGAAAATCCAATTGAGTACTCGGCATTTTAAAACCAAGTGCATAATAAAGTTCAGGACATAAATATCGTAACATACCCTGATAAATCATGCGTTTGTTTGGTTTTGACCCACGAATTATCCTCCTAAATGGATTTTCGTCTTCTTCTTCTGTCATAGTTTTTGTATCTATACCAAAAGCACAGGCTCCAATACAGTCCATAGTAAATCTTGTAGTCATTGGCATCACATCGTGTTCCTTGGAAATTTTAATTTCTCTATCTATCATAGCTTCATATTCGTGGGAACATTTTTCTATTAGATGGAACATGTTCCTCATTTTCGCTGATGTAAACAGTGGAGTCATATTTTGCCGGATAACTCTCCAATTATCACCATATGTGCCGAAGAGGTTCAAGCCACCGGGTTCCTTGTCATTATATTTCGATAACGCTCTTCCATGAAAGTAGTAAAAATCCTTAGTCACGATCAACTTAATAATTTCTGGATCTTTAGGAATCAGGACGGGTTTCAAACCGTGGAAGGCTCCAATATACTTGTCATCTGGGAACTGCTTGCACATTTCGTCGATTATATACCCGTTAAACTTTTTACCAAGTACCATTTCCGCATAACTTCCGAATAAAAATGTTGGCTTGCAGTGTGGTATATTCCTTTTTTTCCAGTAATCATTTTTACGCGTAACAAAATAGTAAAAGAGAAATAGAAGTAACAGTAGGACGTACAGAAAAATCATATTGATTCAATGCGCGACTCGCGTTGACTAATCGTCCTTAATGCTCGCACACACAGAGAAACGTATTCACTGTTTGCTGTATCTATACACACGTACATTTTTGTATGTTTTTTTTATTTCGCTGGTATAATGACTGGCGATGACACATTATCATGATAACAACGTTTGTGTAAACAAGTACATTAAGTACATATATTTACGTGCTATAAATAGTAACAGTGATTCAGCATATTTCAAAACATATAGATATTACTAGTAATATCTATTATTCATATATGTAGAGCTTTCTTTTTTTATATTTTTGTACTAGCTGGAAAGTTGGTTGTAATTAAGTTGTTAACCATCTTGTTTTGATTTTATGTTGTCGGTGTATTATCCGGTGTTATCGAACTCTGATTCTAGAGAGGGAACGTGAAATGATACGATTTTGTTATTAAAATTAAGTAGGTACAAAATGATAGGTACACTATAAGATTAATGTTTGCAAGGTCACGTATATGTGAATTGTATTCACGTTGCGTACTCGTTGATTAATAAAATATGAGCGTGTTGTAAATGGATCCGGTTCTAAGTAACAAAATCAATACATCCCAAAACAGGTCGTCAAACTCAAAATTATTTGTTTTATTACCATTAAAATATACTTGTACAAGATCGTATATAAAAAAAATATCGTTTTAATTTTATATTTAACTCACCGATACAAGTTCTAGGTCCTTCTCCAAATGGCAGGTATACATATGGGTTTATATTCCGCTTCTCCTCGCCCAGAAATCTTTCTGGACGAAACACTTCAGGTTCAGGATAATTCTCTGGATTATGGTGCAGATAGAACACAGGTAAATGGACACGTAAACCTTTAGTTAACTTCGTACCATCAGGCATTATGTAGTCTTCCATCAGCTCTCGCGGGATTATTCCAAGGACCGGGTAAAAACGTAGAGTTTCATCTATAACTGCATCCAAGTAAGGAAGTTCCGTAACACAGTCATAATTCAGCTTATTCCCATGACGAGCTAAATACGCATCGACTTCATGCAATACTTTTTCCTGTATATCTTTATGTTTTGCCAATTCATACAGAGTGTAGCTCAAAGTAGTCGATGATGTCTCAAACCCAGCCGCGAAGAAAACAAAACACTGAGCAACTAATAGGTCATCGTTTGCCTCCAATGTCACTTTTTTGTGGTCACCAGTCACCATATTACTTATACTATCGCCCACTATTTGATGACTCTGCTTCCAACTCATTACAAGATCTACAAAATCATGTCTTCCAGAAGATTTGTACTCACGTTTTGACATGACAGAAGTAATGAGATTGTCAAAAAATTCCAACTGCTTTGTCAATAGTCGTCCCCCGAATAAATAAAATAGCGATGGCCAAATCGAACGAACCATTCTCACATAAACTAAGTAAGTCGGGGGCTCCACAAATGCTGCAATTTTTTTAAAAGGATTTTCTTCTACTCCTTCAGCCATAGTATTTGTGTCGACACCAAACGCACAAGCTCCGATACATTCCATTGTATATCTCGACGTCATACTTCTAACTTCTAATTCGTTCGAAATTTTAATTTCGCGATCCAACATTTCTTCGAAAACACACGAGCATTTGTCAATGAGGTGAAACATGTTCTTCATTTTCGCTGATGAGAACAGTGGAGTCATGTTCTGACGGAGTACTCTCCAGTTGTCCCCATATGTCGCGAAGAGATTTAAAGCAGCCGGCTCCAAATGGTTGAATTTAGATAACTCCCTTCCATTAAAGTAATAAAAATCTTTGGTCACAATCAATTTAATTATTTCTGGATCCTTGGGTATAAGTACAGGTTCTGTGCCAAAGAATGCTCCAATGTATTTTGCCTCTGGGAAATCATTACAACGATCTTGGAGGTTTTCTCCGAATGATTTTTTCCGAAGTATCATGTCACCATAATTTCCCAGTAAGAATGTAGGCTTAGAGTGAGGAACGTTTCTGACTTTCCAGTAATCATATTTACGAGTGATTACATAGTAGAGTAGAATTAGTAGCGTCACGAATATATACAGAAACATCGTGTTGTTTTCCTGGATGGTCTCAGTTGACTGAAAGGCAAGCGCGGTTTGTTATTATATTTGAGAACGTGTCGGTGTATCGATGTAAACTAGTCATGTGACGCGCTAGAACTTGAAGTGTCTACTTTGTCTGTTATCGCGTAACAGCTGTTGTCCAAGTAAATTGGTAGCTATTATTAATGTTACCGTTATAAATAATTGTACAAATTATCTTGAAATTCGAACAACTTCACACATAAAACTATAATTTATTATTGATATTATTTTATGTTTTTTTTTATATACTAATGTAGTTTTGTTATTCATTTCATTGAATTTCATCTCGTAAAAACCAGTTTAAAAAATAATGCACACTTTTTTTTTGTTTGGGGAAAATAATCAAATTACTTCTCCCGCTTAGGGTGGGGCAAAAAGGAGCGTCGAATCTTACTGACTAAAAACCCCTCGTTCCTTTCCGTGCTATAGGACGAGACCGCGGTGCCTATTGTGCTTGCCCCGCAACCCCGGCTGAACATCACCTCAAGAAGGGCCTCGTCTGTGGCGATCTATTAGCTCTAAGCGCTCACGCGCAGAACTCAACGCGCCGTAGGCTCTGATATCTCCTGAGTATCGCCTACTGCGGCGGGTGGGACGTGAAGATAGTTACTTCTCACCCACCACCTCCTTTTTTGTGAGCATCACTACTTCGTAGAAAGAGACGGCTTCTCAGTTCCTCTTGCTTCACACCATCGCCTCGACTAAGGCCGGATGCGAGATGTCGCCATCGCTGATCGCGAGGACACGGTGGTGCTCAACCCAAGCAGGGCAAGCCGCAACCATATCCTCCACCCTGTTCTCCGGGTGGTCCTTACAATGACTCTACCCTGACGGTTCCTCCCACCGAATCTGAAAAAGGTGCCTACAGAAATTTCTGTGGTGGTAAGCACCTGCGTCAGGCGAAATGTGAGGACACCATGGTGTCTCTCTAGCCATCCTTCAAAGAGTTTGGTTGCGACAAAAGTTGGTCTGCTCCGCCATAATGAGATCGCGCGAAGACATCAGATGTTTTATTCCTCTTGAAAAAAAATTACTTCTAGCTGGACTGCCACTCCAGGTGGAGTGAGAGGTAGTGTTTAGTTTTTACTGACTCAAAACTGTCCTGTTCATCCAGTTATAATTTCTGCTCCAAAGCGAATTTATTTGTCTGCCTGACCTGCAACTCCGATCGGGCGTCGGCTTTTGTGAACCCTGTCAGTGATGGTTCCATAGCGGAACGCATCGAACCACTTTTTGGGTATAGTTCTGGACGAGAAGCAAATTAACTGTAATAAAAAGGTCTCCAATCAGAGCTTCTCTTGAAAAGTAGTTTCCTTACGCGCCCTGCCGGAGAAGAAAGAACACAGCTTTCTAGTTCCTCTAGCTCCACAGTATGGCCTCAACTAAGATCGAGCGTGAGAAATAGACATTGCTGTTCGCTTCCCTGAGAACACAGCGGTACCTAATCATCACAGTATGATCCACTCTGTTCTCCGGGTGATCCTCACCGTTGGGTGTATGGAATCCCGAAGTTACCGTATCTAGTGAATAACTGCTTCCTACGTCTGACGCGGTTGCGATAGCGTCTCTTTAGGCCCTCCTCAATGAGGGGTCTTACTGCTACGATAATAACGAATTCAAATTTACAACTATTAATGGCAACTATTAAATAACCGAAAATTAATTATTGTAGCTTAAAATAATAGTAAACTAGATAAGATATAAAATAATTAATGCTTATAACACAAAAAACTACCATAAAGTTAAACTATGAATAGGTACTCACCAATACAAGTTCTTGGTCCCTCTCCAAACGGCATATATGTGTAAGGAATGATGTTTTGTTTCTGGTCATCAAGAAATCTTTCAGGCCGAAACACCTCAGGTTCAGGAAAATATTCAGGATTATGATGTAGATAGTACGCCGGAAGATGTACACGAAGACCTTTTTCTAACTTTACGCCACCAGGTAGAGTGTAGTCTTCCATCAGCTGGCGTGGTATCACGCCAAGAATAGGATGAATACGAAGAGTCTCATCAATAACTGCCTCTAAATATGGCATTTCCATGATACACTCATATTTCAGTTTATTTTTATTTCGTGCTAAATATGCATCCACTTCTTGTAACACTTTCTCTTGAATATTTTTATTCTTTGCTAGTTCAAAAAGTGTGTAACTCAATGTGGTGGCTGATGTCCCAAACCCAGCAGCAAAGAAAACAAAACACTGAGCCACTAACAAGTCATCATCAACATCTAACGTTATTTTTTTTACTTCACCAGTATTTGGATTTTTTATACTATCACCGGTAATTTGATGATTTTCTTTCCAACTCATGACCAAATCAATGAAATCATTACGTCCAGAAGATTTGTATCCTCTTTGAGTCATAACAGTAGTAATGAGATTATGGAAAAAATCAATAACCTTGCCTCCTATATTTAACTTTAACCCATAAAAGATTGATGGCCAGACAGCATGAATTACTCTTAAGAAACAAGCAATTGGTGGCGGTTCTGCAAACGCCGCGATTTTCCTAAAAGGATTTTCATCTTTTTCTTCTGTCAAAGTCCTCGTATCAACGCCAAAGGCACAAGCTCCGATACATTCTATAGTAAATCTTGAATTCAATGACTTAACTTCTATTTCATTGGAAATTTTTGTTTCCCGATCCAATGCCGCTTCCAGTGTATGTGAGCACTTCTCTATAAGATGGAACATATTCTTCATCTTGGCTGAAGAGAATAGAGGCGTGAGATTCTGGCGCAGTACTCTCCATTTGTCACCATAAGTGGCAAACACGTTTAAAGCAAGGGCTTCCTTGTGATTGTGCTCTGATAAATCTCGACCACTGAAGTAGTTGAAGTCTTTATTCACAATTAGTTTGATGATTTCTGGATCCTTCGGGATGAGCGTGGGTTCCGTACCGAAGTACGCTCCAACAAATTTCTCATTTGGGAATTTATTACAAATATTTTGAAGAGTCTGTCCAAACGCATCTTTTTGTAGAATCATGTCTCCATAGTTACCCAAGAGAAAGGTTGGCTTGATGTGTGGTACGTTTTTCTTTTCCCAATAGCTATATTTCCGCGTGATGACATAGTATAGTAGTACTAGTAATATTATTGTTAGATAAAAAAACATGTTTGTGCTGCGGCCTTGCGAAACGACTGATTGCCACGTGTGAGTATTTCGGACTGTACTGCTAGCGTTTGACTATCTTCAATATATATGTACATACATATAATGCGGTATATCGCCTAATCTTTTTATTTAAACAACATCATGTTTATCGACACTTTTTGTTACATAATTTGATATATCAATTTCTTATCGTAACGACGCGTTTCTAAAAATGTAGAGTGTAATATAATTAATGCAATTATTATGCTGGCAAGTATGGTTGTACTTCTTCGGACAGTTAGATAGAGATAGATAATTTTCGTGTTGCAACTATAGATCGGTAATAAATATTAGGTTATTAATTTTAGATGGATTTTCGACTCCAGACAACTTTTGAATCAACGTATGAATTTTTTTACAAAAGCCACTATTATATAGGTAGTTACTGCTTATTTTATTTATTAAGATATAGAACTCAACTAGGTTATTTAAAAACGTCAACTGTAAAAAATGATCGTGATTATTTAAAAATGTCGCTCACTCTTTTCTCAGATAAAATATTTTAAATAAATCTTGATTGTTTGTCAATCACCGCAACTCAATACTGAATTTATTTTCTTTGAAAATAATAATTCTGTATATTTATATACTATTTTTGGGTCTATGTACTAGGTTGTACACACTACTTTGGAATACACCAATGAGTTTGCGTTCAGGAAATTCAATATTAATAAGGATCATGTTATTATTCCCAGTTTAAACGCTGGCTTGGTATGTGTTATATTTTTGTATTATCAAGTAGCAAAGAAATGTAATGTGGATCTGATTGAAAAAGACTTACCATACCACCACACGTAGGAACGAGCAAATAGCTTCAATAGAGGACAGACCGACAGGCTGACACGCACATGTCACATTTTTATTCTTTTGAACCTCCCTCAATGGGTTGGGCGAGAAGGAATGTCAGAGATTTAAATTCAACATAATATCAATTTAAACTTTTGTTACATATTATACTGTCTTATTAGTCGAATCTAAAAATGACTAAATTTTTAATTGAAAATATAAAAAAATTGCTCAAACTCACAAACACGATAAACTGAACATTTTTTTCTTATTATTATCAAAAGTTTTGATATTATAAATGCCAACTTATCACGTACAAACAAAACACATGGAAGCTTATATTAAATGACCATTCTAATAGTATTAGAAAAATATAAATTTACTTTTCCCGGAGAGCAGTGGAGTAGCCAGTGACACCAATACAAAGTGTGGGGCTGACAGCCACCGTCACCTGACCTTGAATTTATTGATTTTTATTTATTTTCGTATTATGGAAGCTTTGGTACATTAATGTTGATTTTCCATAGATTGGACTATACAAAATTTTAAGAGAGGACATGGGAACAGTTTGGTTATAGCTTTTTAATGAGGTAAATTAACACTTTAAAATTAATTAACACAGTTTAGCAGCTCTTTGATGCAGGTTATCGATGCTTATTCAAAAGGTAGCCACGCATATTTTCTTTACACCCTTTAGGCTCCAGTCAATACTTACAAAGGATTGTGATGCAAATAAAAGACTGAAATATTAACATGCTACTTGGAAACACAATCGTAACAAATTCCACTCTTATAGACTAATAGTTACCAGTAAATATAATTTCACCGTAGTTCCCAACAAAGGTAGTAGATTTGACGATTTTTTCTCTTTTCCCAGTTACCATATTTCCATGTATAAGTTTTGAAAATTGCTTGCAAATAAATTAAGACTAAGAACGACGTCATAAGAGGCATTAACCTGATGATGTCCCTAAACAAGTGTGGGAGAGCCATACTTCAGCATGAATGGGTCGGAGATACCACGGCCTTACAGAAAATCGGCGTGAAACAACCACAGCGTTGTGTTTCGCCGTGTGAGTGAGGTTAACGAAGGCCCAATCCTTTCGTTTCCCCCAATCCCTAAATATCCAAATCCCCAAAAGGTCAGCAACGCATTCATTATCTCCTCTGTTGTTTTGGGTATTCACGGGCGAAGTTGTTTGCTTACCGTCAGGTAATCCGTTTGCTCGTTTGACATCCTACCACAAAAAGAAAAACAACCTATGTAAGAAAAAAGTTTCATCTACACTAATATTTTAAAGAAGTAAAATTTGTAAGTTTGTATATAGGGGGTAATCTTTGGAACCGCTGGTCGGTTTGCCAAAATTCTTTCGCTGATAGGTAGCTACAATGTTCCTGAGTGCTATAGGCTACAATAAAACAACACGCTACGATTAAATGGAGTCAAGGAGCGAGTGAGTATCTAGTCTAAACTAAATTCACAAAGAAGAGCTAGTTTTATTATTTCCAGCCAATAAACTGCGACATTGTATGTAATTAATGTTGATGAATCGTTGTATAAATTACTTATGATTGATTACATTCCATTATTTATAATCTTTTAAAGAAAAGACGTGGAAAAAATGACTACTAGACAAGTAAACTAGTTTAAAGTAAACAAACAACATTACCTTCACAGTCATCTTAATCACTACATATCATACAGATTATTTATGTGCACTTTTTAACCGACCAAGCCAAGTAAATGCTGCATACCAAACAACAACAGTATTAAAAAAATATATTGATCGGTACCTACTAATCATCAAATTAGCAAGAGGTATGTAAGTAATATCTTTACACTGTTATAGTGTTACTTGGCACCGACTTTAAGATTATAAAATAGTTACTTATTAAAATATATTATTTTCTATTTAACTTAATGAAAATATGTATTACTTTGAACAAAGTAAATTTATTTTTTGCTTTTCAGTTTACTTTTTGAAGTCGGTTTTTTTTTGTTAAAAATTATTTTTTGTTTATGAATGGTAGTAACGATTTTCTGATTAAAATATTTTTATCAATAAAATAACAGCACAGTTTACGCAGTGTTTTGACAACCAGCTGCTGTGTAAAGTGTCACTGGATCGATTCCCGCACGGAACAACTCTTTGTGTGTGATCGACAGATTTGTCTGTAAATGCAACCACGAAACACAACATCCTAGAGTGGAGCAACGTTTTAAAAATAAGTGTCATATTATTATTGAAATCAGTGAAAGTGCTCGAACTGCGTCAAAATGAGGCAAAGCAAAGATAACAACAGATAATTGAGTTCCATCAGTATCCCATTATTATGAACGGCCGTTTTAGAAGATTTCCCGGTTGTCTTTTTCCAAAAATAATGGCGCTCTTCAACATCTTTAGGGGAGACTGAATCAAGATTACGTAACATGTTCATGTTATCATTTTGTACTTACATTGTCATTTTTGGCAACACTTCTAACGAGTGGAAAAATACTTAAAAGTTCTTAATTTTGGACAGATTTCTTGTTGAAAATATTTTTTTTCCTCAATAGTGGCTTTAAATCCTGCTTAATAAAACCTTCTTCATAAGTCAAATAAAGACTTTCTTATGTGATAGGACGGCAATCGAGCCAATCAGCGCTGCCCATAGATATCCGCAACAACAGAGGAGTGCGTTGCTGATCTTTTTGGGATTGGGGATTTGGATATTTAGGGATTGGGGCCTAATTAGAGGAAAGGAAGTATTTGGCCTCCGGCAACCTCCAGCGTTGTGAATGTTTCACGCCTGTTTTCTGTGAGGCCATGGTATCATTAAGGTCGAGCAGACTTAATCGTACCGAAGCATGTCTCTTCCACACCATCTACACGCATTAGTAAATCTCTAAGCGATCGTAGTTTCATCACCAAAATCTGAGACTATATCATCGAGAGATAGGCAATAACCTACATAAGAAAGAAGAAAGAAAAAACTTTTATTTAGACTCGCACAGGACAAAAACAATAATAAAAAATAAATAAAAATAACTACTTTATCTATATACATAGAAAAAATAATTAAGTTATCAAAAGATTAATACTTCCCTAAATCTCCAAACCCTAATCTCCTCAAGGCTGGCAACGTACTCGAAACTCATATAGTATCGCGATCTCGATTCCCACACAAGACAACTATTTGTGTGATCCACAAATTGTTTTTTTGGGTCTGGTTGAGATGTGTATGTGAAATTGTACATTATATTTGTAAAAACACTGGCAAAAGAGGAAAACGACAACATTAATAAAAAAATGAACAACGTTTTTAACTACCTAAAGAATAATAGACTAGGCTGCTAAAATCGAAAACAATTTTTGTATTCACCGCAAACGGGAAAAATAACTACTAATTAACCTCTATAACAAAACAGGTTTTGAATAGCGAAGTCATCGTGACGGATACAAATTATTAGTAGGACTTACCTGCATAGCAAAAATACAAACAAATTTATACCTTCAATGTTTATAGCATAGGACTCATACTAATTATAACTATCCCACAGTATATAATGTATGAATTATTTTGATTAGAACGTGTAATATAACGTCATGGTTGCTCCTTTAAAGGGTAAGCAGGTTTGTATCGACAACGCGCGCACTTTAAGATCGTGGTGGCCCGGAGGTTAAGGCGCTCGCTCCTTCGAGGGTGCGGGTTCCAAACCTAGCAAGTACCATTGTGACTTTTTCCGAGTTATATGACCTTTCAATGATTATTTAGACACCACTGACATACCGTGAAAGAAAACATCGTGATGAAACCTGGACTTATGATTTCTAATTAAAAGTTTGAATTCACCAACCCGCATTTGCAAGCGTGCTTAATGCTCAAACCTCCTCCATCTGTGAAGAGGCCTTTGCTCAGCAATAGGTGCTTATAGGCTGATGATGATGTGATGTACTTACTTTAAACCTGTTATCAACACGACTCCCACAATTTAAGATGTCTTATATTGAAAATTACTAAAAGAAAACGTAGCCATCACACTTTAACTCGACACCTTTCAGTTT